GTAGGGTTTTGTCCGGCAATGATGGAATGAAGCTGAACTTCAAATAATCAATGCTATATTGCCTACATTTCTTTTTAGATTCAGCCATAATTAATAGCAGTTATATTTGTAAAAAAAATCAACCGATTTATGAATTAATAAAACTTTGAAAAATGGCAAACGATGACGATGACGACGACGACGTATGATCGGTAATCGACTGTCACGGATGAACTAAATTACAAAACGTACAGTAATATATATTCCGACCATCGGCGTTGACCGATATCATGTTTCGATAAACAACCATTCTTATGGTACTGTGAGACCTAAAAATATACGGTTGAATGTGTAATGTGTACATTTAATCTTATCTTAACATTCCGATATTTACCTTAGACTCCATTAGTCGTTATCGACAATGTTCGTTATAATAATCGTTATCTTCGTCACACACATATTATTCGTAAAAATTACGACACACGCATTTTGACTTATAACGCTCGTGGACCCCTATTTACACATGATGCACCCCCAACTTTCTTTTTCATTGACATGGACCCCTTGCAGGTCAGAATCGACCCCAGGGGGTCGATATAGACCACTTTGGGAACCTCTGCTTTAATGGTTTCCGAAACGTCAACACACTACTGAAGACATGGATAAATTGGATATGTTCAAAAAAGGAAACAATATTAAGTCCAAAGTAGGAAAGTTTTAACATAAATAACATAAAGGTTAATATCTTGATCTAATATGAGAAAAAGTATTTGTAAGGACATCAACTAGAAATAACTTATGAGCTTTAATCTATTTAAAAGTAGAATTTATATGAATGAAATAAAAAAAAAATGTTATCACTTTCATTGAGTAACGTATTAAAAATGAATAACGTTAATGATAAAAAAAAATAAGTAATATCACATTAAACCACTTTCTCCATATAATAGAAAAATCTTAATTCCGCATTTTATAGGCTTATTTTTTACATATTGTTTTATGGACAACTGGCCTTTAAAAGGCACCATTTGTTCATCCACGCAAATATTTCTTTCCACGGGAAGCTTTTTACATTTTTGTAAAAAAAAATCGTACAAAGGGCGTACCTTTATAAATTTGTCTTTGTTACCCTGTGGTATGTCATTGTTGTCAATAACATGGAAATTATTTTTTCAAAATAAAAAATCGATTTCGGCTCATATTTTTAGCTATTAAATTTACTATATAATCTTTTTGCCAATACATTCGTACACAAGGAAATTTCAGACACCCCATTAATATGTGTATTCCGATAAGTTTTTTTTATCTCATATTCGTCGGTGGGTTTCAACTTAGAGCCTAAATTTTTTTGTGTTGCGTACAAATTAGTATTGAATGATATTTTTGTAAAAATATCATCCCCAAAATATTCAGAAAAATATTGCATGGGAGTTTTTATTGCATTTACATACTCATCTATATTTTCTAAATTAATAGTGGGTGGCTTAAATGGTTTTTGAACTCATCGAAAGTCACGTTTGTCTGTAGGACTAAAATCAGATTCAACCATCACAGTAGGCTCGATTCCAGGATCCAAAAGGTTTAAACCTGATACATCAAATTCGTCCAACAAGTTATCAAGTTCTTCAATAGGAAAACAATTATCATCAAACGATTCGTTGCCTTCATCACTTATATCTGACACGTCGCCGTCACTCAACATTTTATAAATTTCTAACACTGGTACTTTCTACTTACTACTAACGATAAAAATTAATATTTAGGTATAGGTAATACGTAGTTGATAACAACATAATATCTCATAATCAGTAATAATGTGTAATAATTGTCAATAGCAATAATTAGTATCAATTCTTGTTTTTATTATTGATATTTTGTTATGATTATCACCTACGTTACGGAGCTACTAAATGATAATCATAACAAAACTCGCAACTAAATGTTGTCGATGGATTACACAGTGAATTGCAAACAGCCTCGTTACGGAACGGCAAAATTTGCAAAATAAAGTCGTAGAGATCCAGGGTACACCATAGTGTACATCGTTTCCAACAGTTATAATTCGTAACACAACCACTAGATAGAAATAGAAATTATGTTTTTACGATATTTATAATATCTTTGACTACCATAAAAATCACCGAAACAATAATAGTCCTACAACTACAAGAAAAATTAATGATAAAAACACAAATCATTCTTATCAAATATGCTCAATCTTTTTGTAAATTAACGAATATTAGTCATATTAATAACATATGGGGGTTTTATCGATTATATTATAAAATTTCTATACAAGTTCCTCTTGAAAACAAGACTACTTCCGTGAATATATCTTAATTTAATCAGGCATCAAAAATTTTTACAGTTATGGTACACTACAGTGTACTTTGGGTCTGAGAGGGTTAAAAACATTTCCAACTACGTGTAAAAACTAGAGGTCTCGTTTGAAAATGTAAATTAATATGTACGTGAATACGGAGTTCGTGTTTCACGTGAATGGAAAATTTACAATCACGTATATTTAATACACGTGAATTAGCGTTATTCACGTATTCACGAATACACCGCACGGCCGTACGGATATACAGTAACTGGCCTTTATATACAGCAATTGTCGATTGAATTATCTGATTATTATTTACTTTTGTTATAAGTTAGGTACTTATACTTCCTAATATCAAATAAAATATATTTTATATAATTATATTAATAAATATATTTTTATATTTATTATAATTAATTATTGTATATCTTTATGAAAATAAATATTCCTCAATCCTGGGATAAATCTAATTATTATATGTAACATTAAAGAAGTAAATATTAGAACTTTTTAACACGTGAATACGTGATTAATTACACGTGTATACGGATTTTTTAAGTTTAATAATTCCGAAAGTTAATTTCACGTGAATACGTGAAAACGTGTATACGTGAAATAGGGACTACTAGTAAAAACCGATAAAGTAGAAACATAAATATTTAAATTATTATTCAGAATTCTAAACTTGGTAAAGTTGTGGTATCGTGAATAAATACTAAATATTATATATATATATAATTTAAATATAGTTTTATATTTAAAATATATTTATATTTTTTAAGAACTTTTTTTTAAATTGACAAAAAAATGTCTATAAACTAAACTTAAATTAACGAATAATTTTATTAGTACTGAAATATGTGGATATATTACAGAAATACATACTACCCATATGAAGCATAAATTTCAAAGGTTGAATAGAAAAATTAAAAAACTCCTCGCCAACTCATTTAAGTACACAGAAATTTAACAATTCCTTAACTTAAAATATATTCATATAAAAAATGTTTGTATTGCTTATTAAATCTCAATAAATTTTAGGTATTTTACTATACTTATAATTCTCTTTTTTACACTTACTCAGACGATTTTTTTTTATTGTTATTATTGTGTTCTACAATTTAAATTATGATTAGCAATACTTTTATCAATTGTGTTACCATAAGTCATAGCCATATCATATTAATATAAATAAGATTATAAACTATAATTTAATTTTCATTGTCAGACACTCTTGATATAGATACCTAATTAATATTTTAACACTTTTTTTAGAATAAACCTCTTAATTCGATGGAGTTTTTCGTTATATCAAAGTTATTTTTAATGATTGATGTATATGATGTTTGATAAATTATGAAGAATTATGTAGAACCACTTAAAGTAACTCAAAATTATTAAAGTAACCTTTATATGCAAAAATGAAATTTGTGTATTATTAAACCGCTGAATCGGTTTTATTGTTATATCTTATAAATCATAATCACTGATAGATATTACAATTGAAAATTTAATTTTGGTTTTATACCATTTTTTTTTAAACAATAACTTTTAAGCAGTGAATTATCACTAAATAAAATCGTCATCCGAACAACAGCACCAAACTTCATGACCCAAACAATTTTTGAGTAGGTATATGTATAGTTATAGAATATTAGTAATTTTGTATAGAATTATCATTATTTTTTTGTTCTTAAGTTTTTCAACTTTTAAATATTATCTTCTTCGCTTTAATTTTTCCGAATTTTCGTTGCTTTGATTATCGCATGAATTATTCATTTGATACAATATTATTATGTTTTTTTTTTTATTTGCTTTCTTTGCATGTTCTAATAAGATCAAATCAATGCATTTATAAAAGTAGTTAACAAAAATAATACTTTTTTTTTATTATAACAAATGTATTCTATTAATTATTATTTAGCACATTTTAGATAATCCATGTGATTTATTTGTATAATATTAAGTTTTCATTATTTCACAGGTAGTTAAATATATTTATATAGTCTTTAAATTATTGGATTGTCGTTTTGATAATAAAAATTTAAAATAAAAATTGATAGTAAAATTGTATTATTATAATAATAAATAAGTAAATAGATAAATAAATACAATAAAAAATAGAGTAAACAAATAAATAAGTATACTACTAAAAGACTAAAAAATAATAAAATGTATACATAGGTATACTTGTACTACCATATATACATAAATAATTAAATAAATATGGTTTATCTATATTTATGATATAAATTATGTATGCTAATTGTTGATCGTTTTAATATGATAAAATATTAGTGATTAAGATACTGATTAAATATTTAATTATTTAATTGTATTAAATTTACTTTATAGTAACTTCTAGATAAACACCATTAAATGTAATGATACTATAATATACTCATATGATACATTTTTCAAAGTATCTTATATTTATATTGTAAATTAATTATTTAATATATGCTTATCGGTTGCATTAAATATTTATCTTTTTTCATTTTTTGAGCTCAAGGAATAATAGCAAATTATATAAATTTTTTGTAATACACAATATAATTTTTATGAATATTTAAAACCTAACTGACAAGAAAAATTACATATAATATAAAAAATTACATAAAAAAAACAAGCCAACTATAAATTAAAAATTATTTTGTTCGATAGTAAAATTATTTATGTTAATTGGATGTTACAGTTCGTGAGATCAACCGCTGGACCTGGTGATAATGAAGAAAAAGTATAGGAAAAGAAGAACTAAATCGACGTTATTTGACAAAATATGATATTTTTTAAATACACAGCAGGATTTTTTTATTGTGAACCACGTCTAGGAAGATTCGAAATTTATGTTTTATCTTGTGTTTTACACAACGTAATTGTACATAACGTTATTGAATCATCAAGTTTTTTTTTTTTAATGACAACCAATAGAACTGCATTTTAAATTACAATTCTAGAAGATATCATTTTTCAAAAAAATATATTAGAAATAAATTTATTATTAAAAATTTAATATATTTTGTACTATTTATTATTCATAATTTTTTCGATTGAAGGAATAGAAAACTGTTTCACTTGTTATTAATTTTAAGAATGTTTATTAAATCTCTATTACTCCCTTTATAAATTTTAATTATTAAGAAAGATATGTCTCAAATTGTAGTTAAACATTTTCAAAATTTAATACTCTGTCGGTGTATTAAATAATTAGTGTAAAATAATAATTGATATGTCCATTTGAAAATTGAATCTTAATACTACTTTATTAACAACGAAAATGATCAAATTATTTTAATTGAAAGAAATTTAGAATTCGACTAGACTATGGTGACATTTTTTTTTTAATAAAAAAACATAAATCATTAATATATTCCTAGATGTAACTCGGTCCACTTAAAATAATGAGCTTGTGTAAATCATATGCATGTATATATAAATATAGCACTTGTGCAGTTTTCATTCACAACATAATAAGATAATATTCGTTCAAGTTTTTATTTTATAATTATAACTATTATATAAGCTCTATTTTTAATTTTGTGTCAATGTTGACATTTGTCAATATACTTTATAAATATATGCCAATATCAATCAATATTGTATTTATATAGCTCATAAGATTATAAGTTACCTTAAAATATACGTTTATACAACTCATCTATTAAAATGTAATTAATACCTATTTATAAAATGAATTAATTATACAGTTTGTTCAATTGTCATGTGTATGTGATTTTTAATTCTTACTATACATTATTGAAAAAATTATTCTACATTTTCGATACTCGAGCAACTCTATCCAAATAACTTTTGGATTTATTCTAGCTACTCATCGCATATATGATATGATAAGATATACTTCATTAAAGTAACCCAGAATTTACAGATACAATTTCAAACCAGTAATATGATATTCATAACTTCCACTTTCTAATAAAATATATTCCTAGCTATTTTTTAGGTAAATTTAGAGTTAATTTATCCTAATAAAATATAAGAATTTTAGTGCTACTTCACCGTAGCGTGCCGCCGGTTACTCAACAGTATCACAATAATATTAAGTACTTAGTGCTAAAACTGGAACAAGTTCAATAAATATACTTTACTTTATATACTAGTTTCTATACCAGTACGTCTGAATTTTGTGTCAATCCGAAGCCCTTATATATGTTTGTAATTGACTTCGTGCAAATGTAACGTTCGGACATTTGTCGCTTCGGTTTTTATTACTTAATTTATAGTTAAATGTGAATATAACATATTAGTAGAAAATACGTACGCACGCTTACAATATTGTTTTCTGATAATATATACTATATACACTTAATATATAACAATATGTTAGTTATTAGTCTTTTTAATTATGTGAAGCGCTACACATACGTACAATTTCTTAAGTACATTATTATTTTTATATTTAACAAATGGCATGTTACACATCATCAGGTTTTTATGTGTTACAATATTGTTTTATATTATTAATATGTGGCATATTACATCACTATTCAAAATTTATCTAATAAAAGATAGTTAAAAAACAAAATTTTATAATTGATCTCGCTTTTTTTTTTAAATCCAAAATATATAACCGGTACACCATTTGTAAATTATTGCACTATTCATGCAATTATAAAAATTAATGTAATTATAATATCATTTAGTTATTGAAATAAAAAACTAAACATTTTTTACACCACAATAAGGTCAACATAGATTATACGTTAATGAATTATTAATTAAGTGTAATATACTTTTAAACCTAAAAAGAATATAATTGAAATAGTCTTAACTTTTAATTTAGGTAACTTTTCTAAGCTCTCTAAATAATACAAATCATATTTACTTTTTTTTTAAAGGAGAAGAAGTAATTTTAAAAGAATTACATAATATATCATTAAAAAAAAAAAATAAAAAAATTAAAATTCGATATTGAATGAATTAATACTTAAATCTTTCGTGTAAATAATGATGAAATTATTTTTTATGTAATTCTACGATCTAATCAAATTAAAAATATTTAAAAAACTCTTTCACTGTTGATATGTTTACCAAGATTATTTTTTTCTGTTCCTTAATTTTTATTAGTTATTGTTGTAATATTAGTAATCTATAATAAAACTGTAAATATCTATTATTGTATATATTACTATCGCGTATATTATACTGCTTCAAAAACAATTTATCTAAGGTATCAGAAATTTATCAAAATTAAAAAAATAGGTATATATCGTAATAATGTAATATAATAACATTGAAGATTATATACAAACAAGATTTTAAAACATACTATACGTCTAAATACAAATCAAAAAAATATTAAAAATGTTATAAACCTAAAATGTATATGTTCAAGATATAATTAGTATGTACATAGAAGATATTCAAATTTCAAAGTTTAATTTATCATACAAGAAATAGTTTTTATGTTTTGTTTCGTTTTACACAAGAATAGTTGGCTCACTGTAGTAATTGTTTTAAACTTTTAACATTACATCGCTTCTACAGTCCAAAAACTTGTAATTTATACAATTTGAGGATTTATTACGAAAATAACGCCTAGTGTACCATTGTTAAACAGGTAACATGAAGTAATAAAATATGAGTACTATATATATATATATATATATATAAGTATATAATGTAACAGTTAAAATAATTCACCAAATAATTCTTAAAATGATTTTTAAAAAAAAAAGTTCAACCACAACTGTAAACACTGTCTAACTATTTATAATAGTAGTATAGTCGGTTAGTAACAACAATCAATGCAAAGTACATACCGACAATACATAATGATAGTTGTTATTAATAACCTATTTTACATATTAATCGTATACTTATAATATTGGTCCAATTTCGGATGCCAATATAAACTAAATAAATTATAACAATCATTAAATTATAAAACTAAAACATTCAATTAAATATAAATTCCAACATCAATTCTTAGAAAAGTAATTAATCATGATCAATAACGGAAGGAGGGACAAGATTATACTCGGTTTGTATATTTTAAATTTTTTAAAATCTAAGAAAAATTATGTTAATAGTCTGATTTTCCCGGAGTATCAGCGCACAAAACTCTAGAAAAGTTTAGTGGATCAACATGCTTAGAAGTTGGAGCTGTTGTTCTGCATAAATTTTAAATAAAAAAAATAAAACTATTTCAACTATCCGTGCAACACGTATCAATATCTCGGAAGAATGCCAACCTTTGTAAGACGTCAAACTTAACTCAAAACAAGACTTTGGGCAATTACTAGGAGTGTTTTTAACTCAAATATATACAGTATATACGAGTATGGCCATATGATCACTATATTAAGGCATTGCGACAGTATTAATTTTTTACATTTGACTGTAGCAGATGATTATAACAGAGATTTGATTTGAAAATACATAATACTATAGTCTAAAATTTCAGATTTGATGCGGATTTGAATTTTGTCTTATATAATATTAAAATTACGTCCAATGTTGGGACTTATCTAGATAAATTATCTATATAGATTTTTTTTTTCATGTTTTATCTTATCTAGATAAATAACACTAAGTTATCTAATTACTTATCTAAGATAAAATTTTTACTTATCTAGATAATTGTCTGAATTCTTGCCAAGACTAGAATTATTTTTATTCTTGTACGGAGACGAATCCAACAGATCAGAGATTTTCAAAATGGGTCCAGCCGTTCTTGAATTATAAATTCTGTAAATAACCTGACTTTCTTTTATACATATAGATTTTGTAATCATAATCATAATTCGTGTATTATTAATAAGTAATTACTATTTCTTGGTATGGCATTTTGTTTAAATTTTCATGTCGGGTAAATATTTTTGGTATTTTTAAACTTAATTTCTTATTTTTCCATGAAAGTTCCAAATATAGTAGATATTTGATTTTAGTATACACATGCAACTTATATGCTGAATAGTCATTACTTCACTCTTGGAACCCGTAAAGTCGTAACTACTTAAAGAATAATGAAAATCATCAAATTAATATTATATGGAAAACAATATTGTTAACTTTATGTATTCTGTATTCATCCTGATACGCACAGAGCAATTTTCATTTTTTTTTTTTTTTTTTTTTTTTTTAACATTTTAGTGATTAACTATCATTAGATATTGTACATTATATATTAATACTGCTTAATGGTACACAACATTACTACAATAAACATTAAACACCTATGTACCTATTGATAATAATGATTAAAATTGAGTTTTTATAGATATTATTACAATATGAAATATTGACCAAAAAATAACATTTTTTGAAAATATCTTTTTTTATCTAGATAAAAATGAAATTATCTTTTTATCTTTATCTAGATATTTTAATTTTTTTTTATCTATTATCTTTATCTAGATGAATTTGGACATATTATCTTTCATCTTTATCTAGATACATTTTGCATTATCTATTCCCAACACGTCTTAAATTGGGATGTGTAATATTTATAGACACAACCCAAATATCATTTTTTTTAGAAAATAATTTGTATAAATTAAAAAACACCAAAAATATAATTTGTGTAATACAATTAATAAAAACAAATAGTTCATTTCTGATTAAACATTTCAAAACAACGAGCTTAAATAGTGTTTCTAATGAGTATAAATGTATACCTGTAAACATATATATAAACTAAAAATGAAATTCAAAATAATTGTTGTTTGTAACCAACGTCGTTTACTTTTTCCGTTTTATCCTCATAAGCGGAAGACAAATTGAATAAACTTTTCTGTGTGAATACGTACAGCTTGTTTGATTTTCCTTTTATTTTATATATGACTAGGTACTTACCCATTTTTTTTTTTTTTTTGGTAGGTTTTAACTATGAACATTTATGGTATACTATATATTTACAACTAAACATCCTATAAACATGCTCAAAAGTCAAAATGTATGGAACGTGCAAAGTTTAATGTAAATAAAATATTTATTAAGTATATTTTTATAATATTTTATCATGTAAATAAATAATTAGACTAAAACAAAGACATTATTATAAAATTCTACAAATTCAGTTCTTGTGGAATTATTAATGACAAAATCATTTTGAGATTTTATTTAATAATATCATAACCTTATATACTATTTATTCAATTCTGAAAATGTTCAAAATCATCGATAAGTCTCAATATTTGTAAGCTCATTTATAATAAAGATACTTACGAACTTGAATAGTATTCCTTAAACAACTTTTAGCATATTATTATTATAATTCCAGAAAATACATAGCTAATTTTTATACTACTTTTCGTAAACATTTATTTCTGTAGTTGAATTTTTTTAAACATTCATATTCTTACTTAAAACCATTTTTTTTCTTCTTTTTTTTTTTTCTTATTCATCATCGAAATCTAATCAAACTATTAACAGTTTTAAACTTGTGAATTTATCTAAATATTACCAAATTGTATGATACTAGTGCAATCAATAATTAACCAATTTTTTTTTTTTTACTTTCCGTATTCTAATAAGTGTTTAAACTAATGTAATTAAAAATATTCGGCATACTTTTTCGTATGTTGTACTATTCAATTTTGAACATTATTTTTTATGTGTGTTCGAACATTCATTGCAAATACTTTTAAAATGTCGTTCATCTATACATGTATACCACCGCTATGGTGCTATGTGTCAAATAATATAAATACTATAAGAGAGTTCTCACTATGTGATTCTGAATTAAAACATGAAGCGAAGTATTAAAACACAGAACTCGTCTAAATAATAATAATAATAATAAACCATAGAATTTACACGCTTCGAATAACAAGCTATTGTGAATTTGTATGAATACTAAAATAAAGGCGCAAAGGTTAATAACTTGAGTCATATATGACGTTTTATTTTTAAAGAACTGAGTCTTTTTTGAGAATATAGGAAGATAGTGTATACACACATATAGAATTTAAATTATATATATATATATATCGAAAGTTTAAGTATTAGTATAGAATAAATTATTCTAGGATATTATAACCAATGGTTCCATAACATTTAAGAGATCATGCGATTGTATAATCGTTTACTATGAAATAGTCCTATAAGTTTGTACATATAGAAAATATATCCCTTGTGGGTAGAAAATAAACGTTTTTCGACATGCAGAAAGATACTTCGTAAATAATATACCTATATAATACAGGGTTAGATTAACAGGTATACAACAAAATTATACAGTGTCAACATTTGAGTTGCATAAATTAAAATTGTATACAGTACCCTATAATCTCAACAATAAAAGTGGAAAAATACATGAAATTAAAAAGTGATAAAAATCTGTTCAACCTTACCATTTATTTATTATAGAAAATTGCAAATAACATCAAACATTTTTATTCATACTTATTTATCCATAAAACTCTATTGTTGATTACTTGCGCTTAAGGTTTAATTGATTAATTAATATTGATTTTAAAATTCTACCTATGTATTTATGTATATTTAGGAAATTGTATGGACCCGTGTACGACAATGGGACAACAATGGTAACTAAAAACTAACGCCCAACTAATTATATCAATTGTACAAAATAAATACAATTTATCAGAGAGACCATTGGTATAATGGACATGCCATATACGATGAGTTGGTATGAATATAATGTTGAAGGAGCAATAGTGGATATGATGCGAGAGAAAAGAGACCATAAAGAAGATCGCGAAAAATTGGGACTGGTAACATACTGTTGATAGAAAGCAGAGGAAGAAAATATTTTCGGAGGCCAATAAATCTCCATGACTTCTAAGCCTAAAAAAAAAAAAGTTTCAAATGTAATTTTATCATTGGAAATGGAAATAAGGAAGTAGAGATGGATTATTATTTATTTATTACCTAGTTAAAATGTGACCGAGAATGTGTAGCTTAACTTTTATTATACAAGTCTTTACCTCTAATACGAATATGCAGTGTTTTTGAGACACTTTTTTTCGGTTTAGATTCCAAGTTCAAACTTATAACACAAAATATTGTTGAAACTATTGCCATACTAACGAATGTACATAAATAAATTAAAACTGTCAATTAAAATTTTAATATATTGTTTAATTATTTCATTTAAATCAAACGTATGGTATTTTATTTAATAAATACGGAGGAATAATCGTCGAGTTTAAAATGTACTCCGTGTTTATGTCTTTATCTTATTAATGAATACCATGTAAATATGACAAAAATCATCAGATCGTCCTAAGTAAATATACGTATTAAAGTACGCGTCCATACGTATGCATCGTACGTATCGTACGGATCGTATGAAACGAATTTCAGAATTATTAGTATAGTAAGTTATACATATGCATCCACTGACCGGCAGGGGACGGATCGCACGTATCAGTCCGTCAGTAATGCCGACGAAATTGATCGAAGGGGCAACTTTTCGGACTGGTGCGGATGACGTCATACGGATTTCGTTACGATAATGCGAATGTTACTAAAAAAAAACCGACTGTCGCATCGGCAATATGATTGCTACCGGTACAGTGGACGCACTATCACAATTTGATCCGTTTCAACGATCCGTACAATACGTACGATGCGTACGTATGGATGCGTACCTTTACAGTATTACCAGTATTACATTATTTGCTTTGCGTGACAATTGAAATATTGCGGTACAGGCCGATGATGGTATGTCGTCAAACCATGAAAAACGTAATTCGATTCTCGAAATAATTGACGAATCGTGAATATTACATTCCGTCAACATTTCTCTCGCAGTCGTGTTCGATTAGAAAACTATAATAAACGTGTACTACTGCAGCATCGCCAGGCGTATAACGTTAGGATGAAAACATAACTTTCAAGCTATATAATAATGGGAAAAAATTATTTTCGGTAAATTAAACATTTTATTATTTTCAACTACGCTTTTGCACGATAGTACTTAAAGTTTATTGTAAATATTATAATTTAGTTGCATATACAATGTACATAAATAATAATATAGATATATGTATATTATACATATATTTACATTATTATTTATACCACCGTTCCAATTGAGGTCCGTATCACTAGCACGGCCACTTTTGAATAATAGTACCTAATCTTGGCAGTATTTTGTACTTTTTTTTGTATAATTTTGTTCAACAGTGGCGGTCAAATGATTTTGTCATGGGGGGAATGTAGCTGATTTTTTAACAAACACTATATATAAAAATCTTTGTTTTTAAACATGGAAATTATATTATATTAATGATATTATTAATTATTATTATTGATATTTATATTATTAAATCTATTTTTCTGGTTTTTTTTTGCCAATTCGTCCAGTACTTCGTCTACAGTTATATTGACAACCTCACGATGAACCACCATAGTCGTTAAACCATTGAGACGACTCTAAAATAATATAATTATACAATTCATTTAATAATATAATATATTATGTTAAGCATTAAGTACTAAATTTAAATTTCATAAATTCTTATAATTTAATTATAAAGGAAATGAAAAAAATCTAAAAAGTTTGTTTCAATTAATATTTTAGTGTTTTATGTTTGAACTGTTAATTTTATTCGAGCCTAGAGATTGTATAATAACTAATAAGTACAGTATATTTTTTTTTTTAAATAGAAAATAGATGAATACCTATATTATATTATGTATAATATGGATGAATTATTAATATTTAAAAAAAAGGTCATGGGGGGATCTATCCCCTTTGCTACCTACTTGAGTTTTTTTTTTATCCTTACTTTCAGGGGCGCAATTTCAATGAAAAAACTGGGGGTGCTGAAGACCTATCTTTTTCATGTTCCTTAATGATTATACCCGCAAACCGTACAATTCAACAGCTACTAAAATATATGGTAAATATATGAATATTTCTAAATTTAAATTGTTCACTTTGATTTTATAATTTTATTGCGCATATAACGAATTACCTGTCTATAAACACAAATGTTTTATCACATGATCACTTTTAGATTCTTACTGAAGCGAAGGATATTTTGGTTTTATAATGCTGTTTGTATTTTATTTGTTTAACTTTTTTTCGGATAGAAATACTGGTCCAAAAGTTTTTTCTAGGACCTTTTTTAGATTTTAGATTGGCATATGATGGTATTTTAGATAGGTCATTTTTTTAAATCTTAATAGTTTTTCTAGACGTGAGAAAAAAACTGTCCTAAAATGGTAAAAATACGCTGTAAATAAGACTTTCACATTTCAAATTTTAATTATTTAGTCATAATTCCAAAAGTAATCTGGCAAGAAACTTGAAACTTTTATCCTATAATAAAGATATTTTTTTTCGTATTGTATAAAAATTTATTTATTTATACAAAAAAACTCAAAAACTATTGTTTTTCTATACATAATGAATAATGAGTATTTAAATGTAAATTAACATAAACACATTTGGGGGTGATAATTTCGAAAATGAGAGTGCTAAGCACACCCAAGTACTCCTCAAAACTTCACTTTAGGCGTATCTGCCATTTTTTTACAAAAAATCATAAATAATTGAATAATTTTATCACCCACTTATTATATTAATAAATTTCAACATGGATTCATTAAAAAAAATTTTAAATTAATATTTCAATTCTTTGTTATTATAATTAGATACATCATCAATACAAATACATGACATGTCAATAAAATATCATGCAAAATACTAAGACAAGACCATTGTAAGTATATACCTATATAAAGTAGGTACCTGTACCACTGCTATCTTATAGATAACAAAAGTTAACAATTATAAATTGTATATTGTATATTATAATTTGTATTGGTACTTACTATTTAATAGATTAGAATGGTAAAAGGTACTCCGTAGTGCGTAACACTAACCTTATAAGAAAAATGTAATAAACTAAATACAGTATTTTATAGGTAATTGTATCATTATCGGGCTTGGGTAGGTGTACAAAATTTTATTTGGGTTGTACAAAATTGTACAAAAAAATTACAAAATACTGTAAAAGTTAAATTTCAATTTTATAATAATTGGTTAATGGCCGTGCTGGGAATGCGTATCCCTAGCACGGCCATAGAAAAATCGGATTTTCTCGGTGGTGTACAAAATTGTACAAAAAAAAGTACAAAATATTGTCAAGGTTTGGTACTATTATTCAAAAGTGGCCGTGCTGGTGATACGGACCTTTCCAATTGTTGTTTTTGTTCCACTCTAACCTTGATTTTCTCCTTATAGACGACGAATAAACACTGAATATTTTTTTAAAAACAATTATACTGTATTTATGTTATAAGCATGACCTCGTTATTCGTTTCGTATAAGTGAATCGTATGATCGTTTGTTTTGAAATATATAATTTTCCCTGCTAAGTTCCCCCGCATCATACCGTGATCTAAAAATCTTCGATAAAAACACTGCAGTTTCACCGTCTTTTATCAAGACGAATCAATAATCCACACGCACGTCAAACGTCCCATTTCTATTAATTTTATTAATGGTACATACTTTTTTGGATGAGTGAAATAACAAAAATAAAGACATTTCTGTAATACATAGACCGGAAAATGTATTCGTGTATATTCACATATCTCACACATTGTCTATTATATATCTAATAAATTAGTTTTTTTTCAAACCAAATTCAAAACATTAACTTCGCGGTGCTTATCATTTTTATTTTACAATATTTACGACTACTCCTAACGTTGTTTATTTTGCACCTTTGTTATTATCGAAGATATTTTATGGGTCTTATACGTTTGTATAAACTGTAAAATCTGTTATATTCGAATTCTTGTATTTGTTTAAAAATATAAAATAAAATAAAAAAATAAAAATATACTAAACAGTTTATTCGTTGTGTAATCTAATCAAATTCTACTAGAATACCTCGATTTTGACCAAACCAGAATTTCACGTACTAATACCTAACAATATCGATTTTTCCGGGACCACAGGATGTCGGTTGTATAGGGGTGGTCTGACCCCGAGCGAGGGGATGGAGAATCATATTTATGTACATGCAAAATGTGTACAGTAACGGTGCATTCGGTGTTGCGTATTTATGTGTATTATACGCATACCTGTTCCTAATCCAGTAGTGGTCAAACATTTTTCGCTAAGTGCTGTAGGAAAAATAAATAGAAGTTTTTCCTCGCTATGACTGACTAAGAAACTTATTTATATATAACATATTTTATTTTTTTATGAGCCTCTAATAAATACTACAAAAACTCCTATATAGTTATGTCCTTTATTCAAGTTTTTCGCTCGTTCTAAATTTAAGTAACCTATCAGGAAGGCCATAAGAATATGATGTATAAAATATATAGATATACTTATGTATATTTTGATAGGATAATAATTGATGGCAGATTGAATATGGTCAATAGGCAGTATTACCTATATGGTCTTACCTATAGCTTAATCCATTTTGTGACGAAATCAGAATCTGTTATTTATCTGATAAATACCAAAGTTGATTTGACAGTGTTGGGCATAAATTGTATAATTGAGTTCTAAATTTAGTGAAGGTGTAGTGAAACGCTTTTAATAACCTGCAAATTAATGATGACTGATCTATATTCCACTCATTCTTCTCATCGATCACGCTAGTAAAAAAAATGTTACAAAAATCAGCCGTATATAGTATTTTATTATTAAGCATATTACAATGCATTATCATTAATATTACTAAACTATTAAAAAACTTTAAAAAAAATATATTTCTGATAAGTAAATAAGTATAATATATAGACGATGCTATGATATCGAGCATAAAGGAAGCCTATTTGAATAGTCGACTTTCAATCCTGCAAATACTAAAATTATTCCAAACGCACATTTGTCAGCAATTATTTGTTTAAGAATATGAATATATCTACGAATTATTTTGATACAATCAATTTATGTCATTTGATAGTGTAACTATAATGGACAATTTAGCAAGTAAAAAAATCATTAAACGTACAAGTTAAATTAATGCAACAATATAGTAAATTTCAATATCGATTGGAAAGAGCTCATGAAAAATATTCAAATAGGTACATACCAGAGGTCTCAATAGAATACGGATTTTTTTTTGCACCCATGTATCCGAATCACAAATACACGGATATAACATATACTTTGGAAAAACATGTATTTCGTATAAATTTACAAAATACATTAATTCCTTAATTTATGTTCACATGATCGGTGATTAAACTTTTTTTTTTATAAATCTATAATAATTTACATGAATATTTATTCTTTGGAGTCAAATAATTCCACACCATTCATAACAACATGTATTTGAAGTTTCATCAAAAATACTAGACTTCAAGTTTTATTTACCCTATATTTATTATTAAATAAGTTGAAATAAATTAAATATTACTTTTTTAGAAATGAATTTGAAGATCTCATAATTTATTTGTTATCAGTTTTAACAATTTCTATAGTTAAATTCATGGGCGCCGCGAGAAGGGTGCAAGTGGGTGCTTATTATTTTTTAACAATTGAACAATTGTCGAGAGTGTTGTAGTAGAATTTTGAATTATACGTCGAAATTACCACGATTAATTAATAAAAATGATTTCTTAACTTTCACAATTAAAGCTAACATTTAGTGAACCGCACATTTTAAATAATTATTAACATCAGTATATTTTTTAATTGTTAGTCAAATTTACAAATCACGATTATCTATGTATAAAGATGAAAAATATGATATCTATAATAAAACTATTTGTTTATTTATTTATATATTATTTTGTGGGTGTTAACCATTTAATAGTTTTAAATTCAAATTTTTACTATTTTATAAAATAAAAATTATATAAGCAATGAATAAAACAGTGTATTATTTTTTTCAAATTTGTATACTTATATTATATTTTTCTTTTTAATATATGCCCATTTATTTATTTGATTGTTTTTTTTTTTTTTTTTGAGACTTTCAATTGAAATAATTGCATTTTTATATTAATATATAAAAAGCAATAAAATAATCTGTAGCAATCTGATAAAAATATTACACGATAAATAAAACTAAAAAATGGATATATTGTGAATACAAAAAAAAAATGAAATATGCGTAAGATAAATTGTTATACGATAGAAAAAACAAAAAAACAATTTTGGTTTATTCACTAACCATAGGTAGAAATTTCAACATTAAATATAAATATAAATTTTAAATAAAAAAAACAAATTAAAATTACCCAAGTACCTAATTAAATAATAATAATAATTACTAAATATTTTAAACTTATGTTAAACCTAATTTCTGATAAAATATCATCTTAACTCATATGCGTGTGTAGGATGTTTTTGCGATGTGCAAGATAAATGTTAAGGATTATTTTGTAACAACAAAAATTTAAATTTCGTCTATATATTTTAATTAATACGCAACTTTTAATGTTTTAGTTCGTATTATTTTATATCTATGATAAATGAAAGGAAATTATACATTTATATTTATACATAACGTAGATTATACAAAAATTTGAATTTTTATATTTTTTAGACAATATATATATACAGGTATCATGCCATAATAATTTGTACTTGGTAACACGGGAAGGTACTAAAAGTAGGAAATGTATACCACAAATTGTGGTGAAATCGTGAAATATTTCAATAGGTTGTTTTGCTGTGGCGAAACAAAGTGATGTAATTACAGAAAGGAGTATGAGTATCCCTCCCCCTCCAGTGACTAGGAATTTTTCTAAATATAATTTTTCATAACTAAACGTGATAACATTATTATACATATAAGAAAACGACCTGAAGACAAATATGAATACAAATAGTATTCTGGCCAACTTAGCACTTTATAAACCGATGGAAAATAATTGCTTAAGAAGATTCTTGATTAAATTGTATTATCCTGCAGCCCCTCCTCCACAAATACTAAGTCTTAATTGAGTCACTGATAAAACCTATTTATTTGAATATTTCATTTTATTAATTCCTTTAACTTGTTTAATTTACAATTATAGCTCGATTCTTGTTTCGTAAAAACTTATATAGCCGTGAGATCAATTCCACAAAACCAACTTTTTTTGTGTAATGACAGTCCAGATTTTCATACACCTACGAAGACCAAACACTTAACAGGTTATTACGCTACGTTATTTTTTCGTTATATTACCTGGAAAGCTACGTGTTACATTTTTAGCACACTGGATTCTTTGCCAAAAAGTGTCATGTGTATCGAATAGGTTACATGTAAATACGATTTAAACGTAGGAAATCATTTTGTGGCCCACCAGGCAAACAAATTTTCAATCAGCCTTATTCAGGTATATCAGACAGACGGAACCCGTTTCGTCAAAAAATGACCATGCATGTTTCGTCGAGGTACCCGCTTCGCCTAAATTTTGTTATTATAAGATTCCCGTTTCGCCCAGACTAGTTAAGATAAATTTAAAATTAAGTTGGCATTGGTACAGTCAAATATTATATTTTAATAGACGACAAAAATAAATGGTGCTTATTTAATAGGTATGCTCTTAACAGACAACTAAACAAGTTTCTGATCCCGAACGACATATTCGTTTTTTCTGTTAACTTAAATGGCAAATTAACCATGTACGTGCCACAAATGGTACATATAATAATACTATTATACATAGCGGTTAACCTGTTAAAATGGAGGTCTGTGCTTTATTTTAGTTGAAGTAGTAAATATTGACTAACACTAGTTTTCACAAAATATGTTCA